GGCCGCTGGTTCCACGAGGGGACAGAGCCCGAGGGCTGCGAACTAGTTTCAGAATGAAAGAGCCGGCCTCTTAGGGACCCACGCCTCAGGGCTCCGCGCCGCCCGCCGAGGTCCCATCGCCCTGGCCACCGCGGTACGTGCTTGCTGCCCTCAGCAGTGACAGGACCACAGGGTGCAGGAACGGAGCCCCTTCCGTGGGAAGGTTAGACCCTGGTGCTCAGTGGTCAGAGCTGGAGCGGGGGGGGGCTGTCCGGCACTTAGGGCCCTTTCCGTGGGGATTCCCTCTGCTCAGCTTCCCACCCTCTTGGCTTTCCCTGGCACTGGCTTCATGTGCTTATTTGTTAACGAAGCTCGTTATCTCAGTTTAAAAAACCAAATCTAGCCCTGGCCAGGTAGCTCAGTTACTTAGAGCATCATGCTGACACGCCAAGATTGTGGGTTCGGACTCTGGTCAGGGCACATACAAGCAGCAACCAGTGGCAGCATTAATGCCGTACTTTTAGCTCTTCCGTTTCTGATTCTGGCAGACAGAATACGGTGGATTATGTGAGAAGAATTCCATCAGAGCCCGGCCATGAAGGACAAGCCAAGCGCGGTCCTTTTATTTGCTTCATCATCCCGAGCTCACAGGGCCTCGGTGCCCACAGGGCTGCAGCATTTGCCACAGACGTTACGCAAGCTGCTCATTACTGACAGGAGACACCGCGATGCTCTGGCCTCGCCAGGGCGGTGAATCGGCCACAAACTGTGTTTCACTGCAGTTAAAATGTCGCAGAATCGTATTTATGCCCCAAATCTCAAGGGCGTTCATTAAGACCCACGCTCAGAGGCCAGCGTTATAAATCATGTCAGGTCAAGTCAGGGAATGACAGGAACTTGGACAACGTTTATGTCTGTTTTCTGTCCTGAAACCCCTTCCTGCTTGAAGGGAGAATTGGGGGGAGAGAAGCCGGGGGGCGAGGACTCTGGTCAAGGAGGGCTGCCACTCGGGATGCTCTCAGGGCATCAGCAGGCGCAGCTGGAAGAAAACGGAAATGTTTGGTGGCTCCAGGAAAAAGCCTGTGTCTGCATGACAGCCACCGCGGCCGCTGTCTTAGAAAGGCGTCATGCGGATGTTTCCCCCTCAGCATCGTGG